AAAAATAGGATCTGGACACCCTGCATTGAGTGTCGACCATCACACATCAAAAACTGGGAAGTGAATGTCGAGCGCCGAGTTATAGTGGGAGACTGAAGTTTACACTGACCTCCACAGAGTACGGCAATTTACATATACACGAGAGAAGCCCGCGTGGCAAAAACCAAGGCAGTGCTTGAATTAGGGTTTGAGTCATCAGTAGCCTTGTTTTCCACAACCGTAGCAAACTAGTTATTTTGTAGGTGAATTACATCAACAACAGGCGATTATTTTCGCCCGTAACATCAAGGGAAAACTAAGCATACTCAGGCGTAGCGGGTGGTACTGGTTTAGGGCCCTTAAAAACAACCTTGCATAGCATCAGTGACTGGATGCCATATGACTCACATTCCGATTGAAATTTCTGCGACTTACCAAGTCCTGTGAGCCAGGTTTAGGAATCGAAATGTTCATCTCAGATGACTTTGCTGTCACTATCTCTGTTGAGCCAATACCATTTGGAAACACCACTTGACAACCATCAGTCTTGTCAATTGAAACAGTTGGAACACTTCCATCAATCTACACAATACCACAAAATATCAGTCAAGTATAGCGAAACGGGTTACCAAATATCTAACTACCCTTTGTCAAAGTTCTTTTTTTTTCTTCTTCTTTCAAATATTACATTTACAACCAAAGGTTTTTTTTTTTCTTGACATCTTTTTTTCTTCACAACTATAAATTTCCCCACAATTCTGTTAAAAATTCCTCCCCTCCCTGAAAATAAACCACCAAATTGCAGATAGAAATATCTCTCTATAACCACCAATACCTGGAATATGTGAGTATAGGTTAATAATCATTAATTTTAGATTAAGATCTTCATGAACAACATGATTTCTTTTAGTACATGTACTGAGTCACACCACCATTAATTGAGTGGCCACCCATGGGGGAATTGGAGGTGTAATGGGGGCTTGTTAAGGATTAGAATGAGGCTTTAGCTAGTAAAAAACAAATACAAACATGCTTTAAGGCAGCACGAAATAACATGAAGACACCATTTATTTTAAATGCCTGTCTGAATGCTTTTCATCAGTGGTCACTTTCAATTTCGGACTCCTATCTGTCATGACCACTTCCAAAACAAAGCCAGTACGTGTATTAAATTTTGTGTGGCCTCTTAAAAGGGGTAAGGACAAATACAAACTGTAGTCTGTTTTTTGTTTGTTTGTTTGTTTTTTTGGGAGGGGAAACACATTTAACATACATTAAATGCCAGGAGAAACAAAAAAAGCCATAACAGTTAAATCAATGACAGAATATCCACTAACTGCTTGTACCTGACACTCCATACTCTGGCAGTTGATAAACTCAACAGTGCCAATAGCTCCTTTGAGAACCACTGCTGTTTTCTTACAGCTATCTAAGCAGAAAAAGAACATTGAATGCTTGAAATCATTCAAAGGCAATCTGTAGGCAAGTTTATATTTTTAAGGCTAACTGACAACTTACAGCGTACCAGTGTACAGGCATGCTTTCTTTTCTTCTTCGAATGTGTCTTTTGTCCAAAGACAAAAGTAGTGCATCTGGTTGTATCCAACTTTTTGTCGTAGTGACTTGTTTATGCATTTTACCGCTTAACATTGATATACAAAAATGGCCTATTGTGGAACAATTGAGTCTTACAAATGAACATGTGGACTGGAACTAGCTTGCAATTGAGGCTCATGCTCCCCGCATTAGCCTCAGTTTCAGGCTAGTTCCAGTCCAATCCTGAGAATAAGAATAAGGGTTATTGATGTAAGTCTCACAGTACATGTCCAGTATTGTGCGGGGAAGCACTTGTAACTGTCATTTTCCATGTTTTAGCCCGTTAGTTTGTCAGTAGTTATTGTTGTTTAAAAATTCAACATGTTTGGAAATTATCCTTAAAGATATACTCATTTCCTTTAACGTCAGTGAATCTCATTATCATCTTTGAGCTTCACCTTCAGCCTGTAATTGTTAATTAAATAACTTATGAAAACAAATTTATTATGAACATTTAAATAATACCGTCCTGTATAGCTAATATTGTCAGTACTATGATTAACGATAAAAAGAAAAGTTACATGCACTAACCTACGACCATGGAGTTGATTTTCCCCTTGACTTGAATTGTACTCTTGTTACACTTATAAATGTAAACTGTTTGAGATGTTTCTGGCTCAGAGATAACCAGGTTTCGGTTGTCTTCTTGAAATTCCTGTGACAATAACACAAAATTGATACGAAATACAGAAATCGTTTGCATGATAAGTCAAAATAATAACAACCTTACCAAAAATTAATAACTCCTTCATTACCGCATGTAGCACATGTACTGGCAAATACACAATGATCACGCAATGGTATATACAGTTGAACCCCGCTAATTCGAACTCAGTTTACTTGGAATTCCCTATCATTTCAAACTCAAAACCATTTCCCTTGGAATTGCTATTCAGTCATTTACTATTGGCTATTTTGAACTCCCGCTATTTCAAACTTTTTTTGTTTTCCCAGAGAGTTCGAAATAGCGGGATTCAACTGTACATAATACTGGTACCAGTCAACTTTCTCCAAAACAAACAACATCTGGACAGCCATCAAACTCTTGTCTCAACTTAAGGTACAGTAGAGTAACTGTACCCTGATGAAGCTAACTCGACTACCACACATTCTGGCATTCTGGGAATACAAGAGGCAAGAGGAGAGAGTATAGAGAATAGGAGGTCGGGGGAGGGGGAGCCAGAAACCAATGCCAGCAGACTGCATGCGGAGCTGTCACTAAGTGCTGGCTGGCTGGATTTTGGGGAAGGGGGGGCCTACTGAAGGTGATTCAAAACTTAATGGCTGCCCTGCATAAGTACTTTTATGGGGTGGTGTTTGTTATGTTGTACAAACTGGACATGTATGTACATGTAGGTGACACCCCATCATGAGACCAATCATGCATTAATGGTCTGAAAACTTAAATTTGAGATCATGGGGTGCTTGAGTAGTATTTCTCTGACTCTAGAATGTGCCATTTACCAAACCTTGAAAAATTGGGTTCAGCTGGCAACACAGTGCAGTGTTAACAGTTAAGCTAAAATTGATGTTTTTAAAACTAAATTATTGCACATCAAAACAATTACCACAATCCATTTTTTTCCTTGTAGTTCAAACACTGGAGGTTTCTTCACAGGAGCAGCTGCCTTTGGTGCACCTCCACCAGAAGGTTTTGGCTTATCAGGAACTGGACCTGTCTTTCTCAAATCTTTATTTTTATGAGTCTTCTGGTCATCCCGTACCTTCCGTAAACCTACGTATGTGGAGGAGTAAAAGAGAGCTTAAGTGGTGTTGAATGTTTTATTTTTAAAGCTATTGTAGGGCTGGTTGATGAACGGATATGCAAGCATAAGCACAAGGCAGCATAAACATGACAGTGTTCAGGGCTGTAGCTAGTAACAGTGGGCAGACCAAGGCACTTGCCTTGATCATTTTGTTTGTGTGATCATCAACACCCTCAATACCTAGGAAGAGAATTTTAACCATGGACATTGCTTCAGTCATAATTTTTTTCTGGCCCTGGTGTTTCAAGTGAGATGAGCATACAACCATGCATTAAACACAAGTTGAAATGCACAGGGCCAGTGCCTTTTCAACTTAATTATAGCAATACAATTAATTATTCTACTGTTAGTAAGTTATGTTCTTTCTACATTGTAATCAATAATTCATATACAAAATAATAATAATAATAATAATAATAATAATAATAA